TAAATATTACTGATTGTCTCACGAACGTATTAATTCAAAAACAAGATTCTTATCTATCAACGTCATCATACGAATCGACTGTAATAGAGCACCCAAAGTCAAAACTGTAGGTTAGTACTTCGCCGACGTTCTTAGGAAATTAATTAAAATTAAAGGTTGGTCGAGAAGTACTTTAAAAAATCATTAATAATTGATTAATTTTATATTGAATATATTGGTTCGAATTTATTGTTCATATATAGAATATTATTAGAAATATGGGAGATTCCGAAAATGTGATTCACACAAAATCGCTCGGCGCAGCGGCAGAAGGTGTTCGTGATCAATATGCCGATGGAAAAGCCGCTAAGGTATTAATTTAATGCAAATTGCAATGATAAACCTAATCCTGCATAATTCATTTCTCGGAGGAAAAGTTGGTTTTTGCGAAAAACTTTGATTTGCTAATTTTAAATTTACTCGACATTTCAAATCTTTATCGTTTCAAACTTGAAAAGCATGTGTGTGTATGTATGTATGTGAGCCTATTTTTCACCTTTGTCGACGCTTTCTCAATAACGGCTGGACCGATTTCAAAAATGTAAAAGTTATTCGATGTATCTCGATAAGGACCACGGTTGGTCAGTTTTGCGCGATTGGCCAAGCCTTTTCTTTGTAAATATCAGAAGAGTGTAAAAAAATGTTTGTTTTAGCCCACAATCTTGAACTGATTTTCATAATTCAAAACTGTTCGAAAGACATTAGTTGGAATCGCATTGATTAGTTTTTGGTACAGATCTTCCAGGGCGTTTTTTTCATAATTAAATGTTAAAAGAAGATAAGTTTCTTAGACTTAAATAACATACTAAATTATCAAAGACCTACCATGAGTGGTTAAATTATATTTTTGCCACTCGTGATTGAGCAATTCTAATCACAATCTTTGCCCAAGCATCTGTACGTCCTGTGCTGTTTCGTAGGTAGCTACTGATTACAGGTTACGTACTCATACAGCATACAGTTTTAAAGTCCGATATGGGTAAAATGAAATGTGTTAAAAAAATTAATTTAATTTATTTAGTTGCAGATAATATACTGAATGAATGAATGATTTTATTTATTTTGGATATAAGCAGCAAACATTTGATCTAAACAGCAAATTCTAATTGTTACTGATAAAATCGATTCATTACAAGTATCAGAAAGTTTATGCAACTTTTCTTAAGGCACAATGCCACTTACAACTAGTTAAATATATTCTATAGTAATATCCATAAAAGAGCACTTTTTTTAAATTCGATATATTAATAAAACATGGATTGGTATATAAGAACATAATTTTTGTATATCACATAATTTTCACATATTTTTTTTTTTATTTTGTATGATATGTTACCATGCAACTAAGTCAATACACATATTTAGCATTAATTTTTAAACGTTTCTCGATAAACTGAACTGTATACCGTGATTTTTATCCTAAGCGAATTGAATTAATTTTACATAATTTGTGAGTATAAAGTCGTGAGAACTCTCTGCGATATTACAAACAAATATTATCGAATGAAATGTAAATATAATTATCAACGCTTTAACTAAAAACAACTTTAATAAATATTATAGTGAGTTCACAATTTTAATATTCATACAAAGCACATAATGAACGTTTGATTATAAACTTTCAAATGTTGTTTTGCTCATAAAATCAGGTTCAGTAATTTTATGTTTTCTCAGAGTTTCAAATTGTTTTGAAGCGTTTGATACAAAAATTATAAATGTTTGTGTATGGAGGTTTGCATATTAAAGTAAATTTTGTCCTCATTGATTATGTTCATGTTTTCTCGGAAACTTCTGTACTGATTTCATAAATTTAAATAAATTTATTCATAAGGGGCGTGCATTAATCACGTGAGGTTTTTAGGGGCAAGGGGGATTTTACAAAACATCACCAGGAATCATCATCAGGAAAGGGTTTGGTATGAATATTACGTGTAATTATTTTTTACCTGAGTTTTGTTTTAAAAAAATTAAAACATTTAAAAAACTTTTTTTTAAATTTTGACTTTTTTTTCGTAACTAAAAATACACGAAATTTAATGAATTAATTAAGAAAATTGGCCATGCAGAGTAATTTAGATAGAAAAACTCGAAGTTATATCCGGGAAGAGTAATATCCGGGCGAAGTTATATCCGGGCGGAGTCATATCTGGCTGGAACCATATCCGGACGGAGTTATATCCGGAGTTTTATCCGGGTAGAGTCATATTTGACTGGTGTTATATCAGGGCGAAGTTATAATCGGCCGAAGTTATATCCGGCCGGAGTCATATTCGGCAGTCGTTATATCCGGGCGGAGTCTAACAGGTCCGAGTTATATCCGCTATATAGACTACAAAAAACTAACTTAATGAAATTTATTATTAGTTTATTGGGGGGCGTCCATTATACACATGATGTTCTTAGGGGGAGCGGATTTTTACAAAAAATTACGAAATATCATGTAGAGGAGAAAAGGGTTTAGTAAGTATTTTGCATATTTGTATTGTATTTTTGTATTTTGGTATTTTTGTATTTCTTTCTTATCTGAATTTTTTTAATAAAATTCACACATGTTCAAAAAAAGAGGAGGGGGGGCGGTCCAAAAAACCTTAAAAATTCGATCACGTAATTATTAGAAGCTCCCTATAAGACGATTGTTATGAGATAATCATTGTGGCCCTATCATAAAATAAATATAATAATAGTAATATAATAAAAGCAGCTGAACTTGCTAATTTAGCTAATTTCCATTTCCAGTAAAGATTGGTAAGGTTGCTGCTCATAATATAATAATTTTAATAAATTCGTTTTCTAGTAAAACTAATCAAGCATTTTTTATGTTGATAACTTGGAAGACTATTCAAAGGCACGTCGATTGCTTACAGTTTGATAATGATTTTTCTCATTATGTTGATTATAATAACAAATGCCGTAAATTATAAATATATTCGATTTTACAACATTATTTTCATTTCTAGGATTTTGTACTTCAAAATCATACTATAACTCTATATACTTTTTTATACTGTAGTTGTTACAATGCTGCTTTATTCAAGCATTAAATTTTATTATGGCGGATTGGCAAATACTATGTGATTGCTACTCGTGATAGATATATTGTCTTATTTTTTGTCCACTGGTGTAAACTTTTGATTCGAGATAATCCCACAGGAAAAACTTTATAGAGATAGGACTAGGATTCCGCGATTTATGTCACCTTTACTTCGAATCAATTTTCCAGGAAAAATTTTATGAACAAAATTTTATGTAGCATAAATGTGTTGGACGTCTTTTATGTTGCCTCGTTCTTTAGAGACAATATTCTTTTATGATAGCTGGCCACTGATTTATAATTCACTAGACGTTTTTAAAACTGTATTTAAGGAGAATATCTTCGTGACTGAGGTCTTAAATTGTCACCCAGTTATTGCGAATGACTTCGTAGCTTAATCAATTTAGATTGCTATATTTTAACAATCGAAATATGATCTTTCAGTAATTTAGTTAGCTAATAAAATATCTAAATATAATACAAAAATAACTTTTTGTTTTAATTTAGGTTTGGGAAATTTTCATTGGCGACAAACGCTCTAGGACTGATCACTACAGAAACTTTTTAGTTGGTCTACTTAGACAACGTGGCTGTAAGAAAATACTTGATGTAGCATGTGGAACAGGGTCAGTATTTTATGTTTACTGATCAGATCATAGATAAACAAGTATAATCAGATAAACAAGTATGGATCAGATATTCTACTAACTTTTACTAATAAAACAATACCAATTTAATCAAATATTTGATCTCATTTAGGACAATAATATAAAATGATTTTTTTTATTTAACAGGATAGATTCCGTGATGCTCTTGGAAGAAGGTTTTGATGTTACCTCTGTGGACGCTTCTGACAAAATGTTAAAATATGCTCTAAAATCAAGATGGGAACGCAGGAAAGAACGCGCTTTTGACAACTGGGGTGAGTTTTTAAACTACTATTTTGATGGTATACCAAGTTAAAGACCAGCACCAATAGATCTGGTCACTCGATGGAGTTGATTAGAAGATCACTTAATGTTCTGACTATTAGCAATTTTAGTCCCACTATTTAGGCGTGCTGGGCTGTATAAATAATAGAATCAGAACCATTTTATTATTATTATTCTTTGTTACAGTTTATTTGATATTTACAAATTATCATATATTTTATTATTCATTTAGTTATTGAAGAAGCAAATTGGTTGACGCTATTCGATGACATTGCACCAATGTTGAAAAATGGTGGGTTTGATGCCGTAATTTGTTTGGGTAACTCCTTTGCTCACATGATGGACTCGTACGGGGACCAACGAGAGCAAAAGCAAGCCTTGCGCAACTTCGAAAAATGCGTCAAGCCTGGTGGTCTGCTCCTGATTGACCACAGGAACTACGATCACATCATCAGCAGTGGAAGTACGCCATCGAAATGCTTATATTACAACGTAAGTATAGTAGAAGATACATAGAAATAAAATTTTGGTAAATTTGTAACAGTAGTCACTATAAAAATTAGGGCTTTCAAGTTGTGATGAAATCTACAGCCATCAAGCAATTTTTTCCTAAAAAAAATATGGAATTTAATCTTATTCTAAGTATTTTAAATTTGATTCGCTTATACAAACAATATTTTATAAATAATTTTCAAGCACAAAATATTTTTTTTAATTAAATTTATTCTGCAATCTGTTAGATAAAACAAAGAGCAGAGATTGTCAACTATATAAAAAGATTTGAAATTTGAAATTTGAAAAAGATTGATTCGAAATTTTAAAAAATATTGAATTTACTCTGGCGAAAGTAGATACTTTTTTACTGCATTGACTTATGTGTAATAAGAAACAAAATCCGTTATTCCGAATTGAATAAAATAAAAAGTTTATTATCCACATATGTGAATTTTATTTACAGAGTACTCACACAGCAGACATAAAAACATCAGTTTTACTTGTCGGCGGAGAACCTGCTTTGGTTTCATTAGATTATATGATCGATACTTCAGATGGAAAATCAGGCAATAAAAAAGATATAAGGTGAGATATGTGTTCACATATACTGTTTTATTGGTCTTTTATTCTCTGCTAGAATTTTGGTACTTAAAGTCGATATTGAATTGAATCCTTTGTCAGTATCACGTTCTGGAGTATGGGAATGAGTTTTCAGGTCATTTTGATACAAAGTTAAGATTTGATATTTTTTATTTTAGTGAATTCAGGTTATCTTACTACCCTCATCGGTTATCGGTTTTCAAGCAAATGCTGAAAGAGATCTTCGGAAATGGTGCAACATATACCATCTATGGAGACTTTAAACCAATAGATGCCATTCAGAATCCAGCTTTTTATATTCACGTAGTAGAAAAGCATAAATGAAATAAATGTATATTTTAAATAATTAATATATTTGTTATTTTTAGTACATTATATTTTATTATAAACATCATAAGGATCATTATCATTTATAATATCAGTTTAATAAAAATATTTTTATATGCCTCAAGTTAAAAGCACATGTATTTGATCGGTTTTAATCAAATTGTGTGTCTCACGAGATTCTTAGACATAAGACATTTTATTATATTCATATGGGCAAAACATCTAACCAGAGAAGACGATTTTTTGAGGTGGCGAATTATAGTTTATTTCGACATTTGAAATATTTTATGCATTGATGAAGTAGTTGGTCTTTGTTTTTAGTTTCAAAAGATTTAAACTATTGGTGTATGACATCGTGCCGTAAGGCAAATTGCTGGAACATTTCGTACCGTAACGAAATGTTCGAGTTGCAATTATTTAACAAAGTTAAAATTATTCACTTAAGGTATATAAGTGAGCTTTAGAACTTTAACCAGAATTAAAATTGAAATCTGAATTATTTTCGATATACAACAAAAAATATAAAAAAGTTGTTTCGTCAACACGAGCAGAAAGTTTTTTGAATCAATCAAATCGGATGCTTATTTCTCTCAAAAACTTCCATTTTCTGTACATTTAACTCTGTATCTTCGAAATGGCTGAATAGCCTACCTTTTCCAAAAACTCGATTACTATTTTCTGCACTCTTTGCCCCGTATCTCCAAAACGGTTGGACCTGCCTTTGCCAAAAACTAAACAGCACATTTCCCTTTCAATAGAAGTCGAATGTTTTTTGAACCATTCAAATCGGTTGATCTGTGGGCCGGAAAACGTGGACGAAAAAATGTGGACACACAAAACACACACACACTCACATCCATTTTTTCTGATTATGAGGTATGCCATAATGTTCAGAAACCTTCAAAACGTGGAGAAATGCAAAAATTATCACTTTCGATTTTCGGCCCATTACTATAACTATTTACGGGAAGTTAAAAAAGAGGGGTGGTTTAATTTCAGCACTAGTCACAATTTAGCATAGTAATATTTTGGTTATTTTGATCGAACAAAAGATATATTTATTGAACGAAAAACAATTTAAATATAAAAACCGCTATGCATTATGTGCTAAAATAAAGGATTAAAATTCTTAATTCGCCGAAGGAAATTTAATGCTGAATCGAATAAGACCAAATTTTGAAACAGTGTATGTGTTTGTGTATGTCCGATTTTTGTTTTTTCGTCGACATTTTCTCAAAAACGGCTGGACCCGTTTCAGAAAATTAAAAGCCATTCGATGTAAGTCGATAAGGATTAATGTTGATCAGTTTTGCGCGGCAATCGGCCAACCCGTTTCTTTGTAATTAGCATAAAAGTGTAATTTTTTTGTCCAAGTTTTAGCAAACAATCTTGAACCTATTTAGAAAATTTTTGAGAATCGTAGTGATTAGTAAAAATCAGCCGAGCCGTCGTTTTTTTGTAATTAAATGTTGAAAATTTTCTTTGATGATTTTGAAGAAACCTATATGTAACCTATATGTAAGATATGATAAATTTTGTAGTTTGAAACAACAACTAAAATATTATACCCATACGATATATGGTTGAATAGGAAACATTCACCAAAGTTTGGGCGATTAAGCGATTCTATTCAGAATCTATGTTGAAGTAGATGACCCTTCTGTGTTTTTTAGGCACTATATTGATTTATGTTCAAACATAAAGAAATTACGTTTTTAGAACCCGATGATGTCAAATAAATTATTTTAATTCATGCAAATAAGTATGTTTGAAAGACATCATTCGGAAATTGCATTGATTATTATTTGTTAGTGAAAGCGAAAACTTTATTTCAATTTACCTAAATAGCTGCATTTCAATTTTCATTGACTAGATTATATATATATATATATATATATATATATATATATGCATCGGTATGGTAACTTGCCTTAAGGCAAAATGCTACGTACAACTAGTTGAGAACTATTGAATTATTCCATTTCAGATACATTTGAATCGAATTGCGCGCGCATCATTTCTTCTCTCCATTTTCCTGTCTATGTTGGCCAATATTAGTATATTGTCTAGGATGTTGGCAGCGCTGCCAAGGGACATGACTTTGACAGTTTGCATTAGTTGACAGATCGTACCTGTGGCAGGTGGCAAGGCAAGGTGTAATGCGTTTGTTTTCCATATGTATGTCAAAATCGTGATCATGCAGCTATAGTTGAAATGAGTTTACGCACGGCAATTATTTTATGAAAGGCCTTGACTAATTTTTTTTATCAACTCTAACAACACGCTTTACAAGCGTAAGTAACACAATCGACTTCTTACAAATATAATAATGCTTGTTTGATACAATTTTGTAACCGAATATGAAATGTCATCTGATAAATATTGTTAAAATTTGTGAAGTAAATGTTTTATTATTCTTTTGTTAATATGTGATACACGTTTGATATGCATCAATACTTTTTTTACAGAATGATGGCAAATATTCCACCTTTACTATCTTCAAGTCCGCCCCCACTTGACATCTCAGATGAACCAGAAGATTTTATTGATGAAATTATACCAAGCTTTGATTATGATGGTTAGTACTTGTTTTATATTGACATTTAACTACTAAACTTAAAATTATTATTTTTGAAATGTAATTAAATGTTTTTTGTCCATCCGTTGTTTCCAAAGAATATCGACCTTGGTTTTTTATGTATTTACCAAATACCATTGCTGCAATACTTTTTGTTGCAAGTTATTGCAAATTATAGAACGTTTATTAAAAGTGCAAATTGAATCACAACTTAAAACAATTGCTATTTGAATCTTCATATTATTTTTATTAAATAAAAGTTTTATAAACTTTGTTTTTCTATTACAGCTGTACCTGAACAAACATACAATGGTGAAGATCTTGATTGTACAATAAATTTTCACAACTCTCATACATTAAAATTACCAAACATCGAAGAAAATGTAATCAACAATTTTAATTCTTCTTGTGATTTCAATGTCCCATCGGAAATAATAACAGAGGCAGTACAATTGGATAAATCAAATAATAAAATAGATTATGATGAAATACCAAATGAAAATATTGTTTTAAAAAGTTTAGAAGACAAAAATTTATCAAATAATTTATTGAACAACTGTACAAATAATGCTTTTAATGACGTTTGTGATAATGATAAGGATTTTGAACATTTGGATACCCCACAAGAAATTGTGCATGATAACTTACAGTGTCTGAAAAATGAAGAATCTTACGAAAATGATTTAAAATTTGACCGGTTAACTATAAATAATCCTTCTTCAGAAACTACTAATTCTGATGATGATAGTGAAAAATTTGAAGAAATTACTGATAATGCATTTATGATTCCTGAAGTTAAAAGCTGTACAGAGCCAGATGTATATAGTACTGCTTTGAATGATGCACAAGAAGATTATCAAAATGCAGATTGTATACAAAATAACTCTGATGGGTTTGATGATTTTGATGATTTTGTATGTGCGGAACCTAAGTCATTAGTTGTTCAATCAACAGATATAACTGAAAAGGATGATGATTCGTTTAGTGAATTTAGTGGCGGGGAAAAGTTTTGTTCTGGTTCACCTGAACAGAAAACAAATTATGACTTACCAGTAGATACATCTGTGAATCAGACCATAAATGATGTAGATGAAGCCCAGAATATAAATTTAGAAAATTATCACATTTCAAATATTCCAATTTCAGAATATGATAATAAATCAGATGTTGATGAAGACGATTTTGTATTTCAAGATTTTCAATCCACAAATCAAACAAATCAAAATCCAGAAACAGATCCTAATTCTGAAATAAATGATGAGCCTGTCAGTAAAGCAAAACACAAAGATGAAAGTTTTGATGACGATTTCGAATTTCAAGATTTTCAATCTACAAATCAATCAGAACCAGAAGCAGGTTCTAATTCTGGAATAAATGATGAGCCTGTAAGTAAAGCAAAACATAAAGATGAGAGTTTTGATGATGATTTTGGAGACTTCAATAGTTTTGCAACAGATAGTGTGCCTATCAATTATCACTCTAACAATGCGAGCGTGAAAGAAGTTACTCCTATTGATGATACCCACTCAATATTAGATACTTTCAATGAAAATATGGCTTTATATAAAAATAAAGATTTTGATACACTGTTCAATAAAATTTTATCTGTAATTGAAATGGCATTTCCTGCTGTTGCTGAAGAAGCACCTGTTCAGGATCACGTAATTAAGGATGATGACATTTGTGTTATGGATGAATTAAAAAATGTTGATATAACGGATATAAATAAATTTCAATGGAAAAATTCTCAAACATTTGAACAAACGTTAACAGCGCTGAATATAGATTCAAGAAATATTGTAAGTATATATGCAGAAATAAATTATGTAGAATAGAAATCATTTTATTTGATGGTCAGTATTTTTAATATCATGTATTTATATATTTTTTTCAGATGTATGGCAATCGGTTTAATAGTGAATTGCCCCGATTTGCGTCAAATTTAGCATACAACTCACAGGAACCATTAAAGCCAAAACCAGTAACAAGTGCTTTACCTCCAAGAAAAGATGAATATTCAGTGAGTGAAAATCCTAAGGTTCCTGATGCAAAATTTGACTGGGTTGCTGCTGGTTTAGTAAATCCATTAGATGGTGAGTAAAACTATATTCATATTATTTATTGCATTTTTTATGTAATTATTATGTAGTTAGCATGTCAATAGAATGCTTGTAATAATAGATTTGCCTTAAAGTCATAGAACACCAATTAAGTATTGGTGTTGGTTTTTATTGCCATTTGTAGCAGTATGTGCTAATTTTTTATTATCAACTTTTGTTACATTGGCTTTAGAAAATAAAACATAGTTATATTTCATTTATTGACAATCATATATCTTTCAATATTTGATTGGTGATTATATCTTAGATCATCTCATCAGAAAGGTCTCCTTCCATGTATTAACCTTCCCAGTTCAAAATCTTGCAATATTTATTTGCTAACATTAAAAGGCGTTATTTACTTTTCAATATGCTTCTTTCCGAATTCACGCATTAAATAGTTTTAATTGTAAATATACCTAAACTCATATGCTTGCATTATATCGTTTCATTCTATTCAATTACATCCAGCTTTCAATAAATATCATCCTATACTTTCAAATTGATTGTGAAAAATAACAGAAAATGCGGATTGCACTTTAGTTTCGGGCAGTTTTTTGCTTGACAATATTTATAGTAGTAGAATTCGTTCCATAAATGCACTAGGAATAGTGAAATTATTTTTTGACCATTAAACCTATAATAAACAACCATGAATATATTGTTAGACATTGTTAAAAAATCGTAGAAAACAGAGACATTTTCAATAGAGGTTTTGAAACATGTTTAAATTTGTTAAAATATTTGATGAATTTTCATATGGTGATAGAATTGATAGTCACAATAAACTCCTTAAATTATTAAAGTTCTATGGGAAGTTATTTGAGCATAATGATTAATTAAAGTTCGCATTTTTGTCGCAATGTTAGGTTTGAATCCCGCTGTGCTTTTTTATCATCTCATAGACCAATAATATTTCAGAAGGATTGTTTGGTCTTTTAGCTCTTCCACTCTACGAAGTGTTGTTAATTTTTCATACAAGTAATCCTGATTTTTTTGTAAATTTATATTTAAATAGTTGGAGAATAAAGTATATTAAAATTTCCTCTAGCTCGAATTTTACTTTTGTGCTATGGTTTCTTTAGCAAATTTTCTTAAAATTATTCATAAAACCAGAATTTCAAAATATATTATATATATATTATATATATATATATATATATATATATATATATATATATATACGAGGTCTGTTCAAAAAGTACCCGGAATTTTCGTTTTTTCAAAAAAATATTTATTTATTCGTCTACATTAATGTGGTCCCCATCAAAGTAGTCCCCCCCAGATATAATACACTTATGCCAGCGTTTTTTCCAATTTTCGAAGCACCCTTGATATTCACTTTTTGATATGTCCTTGAGCACTCTCAGCGATTTTCTTCAATCGAGGAAAACCGCCGTCCTTTCATGGGTCTCTTCAACTTTGGGAATAGGAAAAAGTCACACGGAGCCATATCTGGTGAATTTTTGCACTTTGCAACACTTTATTTCATTTTTTACGCAAAATTTAATACAAATTCTTTGACTTTTCAATTCTTCCATTGTAAAAATCGCCGAGCTCAGAAAAACACGTCGAACCTTAGCGACTACCACAGACAAAGTAAACAGTGAATATAGCTGAAAATTTCATCATACTTTAGGGGCATGTATACCAACACAATAAAAAAAAATTTTGACAATCAGACACTCCAGACCCGCGAAATTTAATTATTAGTAATTCCGGGTACTTTTTGAACACACCTCGTATATATATATATATATATATATCTTTAATTGAAATTTCCTGAATTTTTTAATAAACAAATAAGGGTTTTATTTTCTGAATAATTTATCCAATGAATAAAAAACATTGCAGATGTTTGATTAAGACGTTTCGGAACTAGGTACGTTCCATCATCATCAGGTTCTTCTGCAATATTGATTTATATATCCATATCACCTTTTTTTATATGTATGAAGCACTAATTTAAAAGTTACTCTACTTAAAATATTATGTTAAATTAAGTAACTTTTCTTATAAGTTGAGTAACTTTTGTTTGAAAATATGTGCTTAAAGCAGTAACTATCCGCAATATATATATATATATATATATAATATATATATATATATATATATATATATATATGTATATCGAGTCGTTTAGTGTTTGCATAAATTGTGTGAATTCACATCATCAATATTTGTATTAATTTTACATATGTAGTACTAATTCAATTATCATAATAATTGAATTCCCGAAACGATAGTTGGTTGTTAGTTAGAATCATATCTTCATCATTTTGAATTGCTTATTTAGAATTGCATCTGCATCTTAAATCTTGCTACGGTGACGATGAAAAACCTGCATAAAAATGTTATTTTATATTAGCAATTGGGTTACGTAATTCCAAATATAAAAAACGAATAAAGCAAAGAAATATTTATGCTCTTTGTTTATAAGTTGTCATTGCGAATTTGTATTCGTCAGCAATTTATATAGAGTTTGTACTTATATAATTATAAATACATACAATTACAATAAGTTTTGCACGATGGCATATATATATATACATATATATATATATATATATATATATATATATATATATAAATTCGGACATAATCATAATTGCTATTTTATGTGACATGTGATTTTATACGATCACGCGGTAATTCTGTAATTAATCCATTGATTACATAGAGAACAATAGATTAAATATAAAAAACGTTTGTGGTTATTTATACTGGTCGTACATTTTAGCCACATTTCAAATAATAGCTTTTCGATTTTATTTGATTAATTTAAAATTAATTTTGTTTTGTTAATATAAAAGCGAAAGTACGATTTCTGGGGCATCTATATATTTGGAGGTGTTAAGTAAATGGCTCTAAAATAAAAATTAAATTAAGAATAAATTTGAAAATTGGGATTGAAATTTCTTAATTAATATCTTATTCCGCTTCACGATATCGCCTTTTAATGTATTGTTATCCAATTAAATTATATTTGGTATTCGAGTGTAAAGTTTTGAGCACCAATAATTAAATTTTTATGCGTATCAACTTAAATTTTTCAATTTTTATTTCATTTCATGAAATAATCATCTGTGAATCGATTTACAAACTTGTTAAAAATTTAAATTGTAATCTAGTTGAGCGTAATTTAGCTATGGATAAACTAACTCGTTAAGAAATATTTTACTACATAATATTTAATTTTTAAAATTTTTAAAAATATGTCAATAAGATTTTTATGCAAGTTTTTCATTGGTTTGTTCGCTTCATTCCTGCTGTAGAATCAATAGTTCACAAGCCTGATTTCCATCCACGTTTTTATATGAAGATACAAACTAAATATTGACATGATAACTTTGGCTTTCGATACACCATCGGTACTTCAAATTTGTAAAACGAAATTTTTGACACTGAACTTTATCAGATTTTTACACATTAATATCTGTCGACTATAAAAATTATAGTCAAATATTTAAAGTCAAATTAATTTTCAAAAACTATAAGTCTTTTCTTATTACCCATGTGAATTCAAAACAAATTGATTCTGTAACATAAAAAATATATAATAAGACCTTAACAATTAGTTTGCAGAGTGTTATACATTTCTAATTATTAAAGCATTCAGTACTTGTAAATAATAAATTTATATATTGTAATATATCACGAAGATGTAGAAACATAGCACATTATTTGCATGGTTGAACTATTAAATAGCTATGAATATGCATTTTTAACATTATATCGGAGCACATGTTTCATCGGTATTTAGTTTGTACTCATAAAAAATTAAATAATACAGAGCAGTTAATTTTGCTCTAAATCTGTTTATTTGAATTCCAAAATACTAAATTACAGGTTCATCAACATATAACGATGGCAAAGAGAATATAAATTACATGAATCTATCCATCCTAGAAGGTCGTATTGAGGATATAGACAAATCATTAAGTGTTAATAGTGAAACTTCAATGTCAATCAAAAATAATGGTTGTGATAAAATTGGTGCAAATGTTAGTGAACAAGTTGCCCCGAGCAAAATTACTAGTCTCAGTTTTCATTTACCGGAAACTCACATATTTACATCTCCCACTTCTGATACACAAGAAATAGTCAGTCAAAACAATAATACAAAATTTGATGAAAATTTGTTTCTGAAATCAACGACAAAACCAAAATTAAACGAGGGAATAAATTTATATGAAGAACGTTTTGCTAGTGTTGATACGGCAGCGTCAAATAAAGATCAATCTCCTGAAATCCTAATGCCACAAGCTCCATTTCAGAATGATCCACTCGAACAAATTATTAAATTCGAACCACACAATTACTTTGAGAGTATGGACAACATGACAACAACAGCCCATGATGTAAATTCTTTTAATTTTGGAACTTCTAACTACGATTCTAAACCAGTTGTATCAAATGGTATCGGTTTAAATTATGATATACTTATGCCCACTCCCAATGATAATAACATAAATTTGAAGCCTAAAAGGAAGGAAAGTGATGATTTTGATACAAGTTTTACAGAGTTTCAATCATACACACATAATAAAAAAACACAGAACTTTGATGCCTTGGTGAAGCCAACTTGTACAACGACGCAAAACTCGCACATTCTCCATCGACCAGATGAATCTATTTTATCAACAAATTTGTCTACTTCAAACATTCTTCAACCAATTGTTACCAACTCAACTCTTGATCATTCCTTTATTAAATCTGATAGTGACAAGCTTGGTAATAATGATCTCTTTCATGAAAACAATAGTGCTGATGATTCCCAAACGGAGTGGTCAGATTTTGTTTCAATTACAACTGTAAGTTCAGCTGCAACGCCGTCTATTCAAAGTAATGGTATTGATATTAATGCTTTTAAAGTGCCTATAAAGATTGATGCAGCTGACATTAAGATGACTTCGAAAGAGATTTCGAACAGCACCGATACTGATGACTGGTCTGACTTTGTCTCAAGTACACCATCAGCATTACATTCCTATAGTAGCAAAAATATCCAGCCCTATGACAAATGGAACAGGACAGGCCCTCAATTCAACAACTGGCAAACGAACACTTTTTATAACCCTTTAGCTGGATCAAATTTTTTAATGCCTCATAGTAGTAACAGTGCAAGTGGTTTTGATTATAATAAACAAAATACAGTAAGTTCTGCAAAATCAATATCAGACTCTAATTATATGCGCTTTAATAATTCTAAACCAAATAGTATTATAACGTCTAGTAGTTCGCAGCGTTCTGAGGGAAATGATAAGATCTCAAGTATTACATCTGTTCCAGAATTATCATTCGCGGTTCCTCAATCTTTTATTCATTCAATAAATTTTTCAAAAAAATGATCAAACATGAGCTTAGGTAAATCACATGCAGCATTATAATGTCGTTGATTTTTTAAAAAAATCATTTTACCAGTGTTCAAAATAAATTGGTCTGTGATCATATTTTGTTTATCAAGTGTTATAAACGAATTACTACATTTCTTGATATATGATTCAATTTGTAAATAGTATTTATTGAAAAAAAGTTGTAAGACATTTATATAGAGATGAAATATTATGTTATATTCAAGTAGATAAAAATACTTAATCATATCTGAATATAGGCATATATATATATATATATATATATATATATATATATATATATATATATATATGTATATGTATATGAGTATATGAGTTATATGTTGTATACACATTTTCGAACGCAATAACTAGATCAATATAATTCAAAATTAGCATTTTTCAGCTTCAGCTTGATTATGCGATTCAAAGCCTCATTTGTTGTGTTTTTGTAATATTAGATGGCAAATGTCGTTAATGTTTCAAAATTTTTATAATGTTTAATATAACATTCCTCTGTGAAAATTTATGAAGATAATGTTCCTTATTGGACTATGCTCAGATTTTACTATATCATATGTGCATATTGTACATAATGTTATGATATTATAACATTACTGTTTTGTGGACATCTGTATTTGCATATATAGTATTATATTGATGTTATTGTTGATATATTAAGTTTTCATTATTTGCTACACTTTTGGAAGGTACTTACAATGGTACTATGCATGCAAAATCAAGGTATATTAAGTTTATTTATTTTATTCGTTAATTGAGAGATAGCAATTGAGAGTCAAATTGCCTTTTAATAAATTTGTACATAGAATAACAATGCCTATTATTTATAATAAATTAATATCATTTTCAGCATAACGCTATTAAATATATAAAGATATATATCTTGTGCACAACTTTGTACATTTCATTCGTGATTGAAGAAATTTCAAAATTTCCTCAATAAAACCCATCTCTTTGTTACAATTTTTATTTTTCACAAAACTAAAACATATTGTTAGTAACAGTCTTTGTTTAAATATTTTTAAAATAAATAGCACATTTAAATATTTTATCTAAATGAAAATAGATTATAACAAAAATTTTCGGACAAAATGTAAATGCGGAGCAAAATAAAAATTTACGTTGAAATAATCATGTAGGGAATCATTTTATTCTGATTATATTCTTGATTCTTGATTATATATTCCTGTGCATTCCACATGACCTAAAAAATATATGAATACATGTAATTACAGTTATAATTTGAAATTCATAATATAATTTAAAAATATTGTTTTACATTTTTAACTTATTTAAGAGTCAGTTTCAACGTACATTTTAAAATTGATACTAACGTAACGATTTTTACTATCTGACTAATATTCTTGATGATTATATGATGATAAGAAGTAGCTGATTTCTAAAATTTTTGGTTTTCTACCAAAATGCATGTTTTTCAGTTATAGACCATACTTATGGTAGTAGCAGAATTCAATGCATAAAATATAAAATAATTATATTTAGAAAAAATGCGTAATTTTTAAATCATTTATTATGCTAATTAAATTTCTTCATAGAAGGAGAAGTTTTAATGATTTTAGACGCAATTCCAAGGAGAATCTATATGGTATATACCACGATATTTTTGTATCAAATAAGAAGACGAGATGCACTACCTAGTGTTACGATCCTAGTGTTTTATTAGTGATATTATTTATTCTAAATCAAACCGACTACCTGTAAATTTATTAGAAGACCTGGACCCTATGATTTTCACGATCGCAGACTAGGATATTTCCATTAGATGTGACAGCAACACCCTCCAATCCCTTAAATTCTGCATCACCGCTTCCCCAGCATCCAAGGGAACGCAGGAAACTGCCATCAGGATGGAAGATTTGTATTCTGTTATTACCAGAATCTGCTACAAAAATGTATCCTTGGTCATCCACTGCCACACCCCTGAAGTAAATGAAATATAAGAATTAATTCATATATTTCAAAAAAAATTGAATGAACACGACTGCAATGTAAATTTCTTTAATAGTCGTAGTTGAGAGGCATTTTTGTAATAAAGCATCAACCGTCAACCGATCTATTATCCTTTTTTGCGAGTTATTCTCTCATCTTATTAGTCAGTATTTTATGTAATGATAATTTGATCATCCACCAATAAATATAAAGCAAATATCGAACGTCGATCTCATTAGCGACGTGACTTCATCATACAATGCCAGCACGTTCGACAATTCCGAGTTGCACTTGAGAGGCGACGAAGGAAATATTCCCAGTTCGTGGATTCGATCATTCTTAAGAACGAATCTTGCGATAAAAACTTGAATCTCAATTGTTATATCAAGTCATCCGATGAAATTCAACCTGGCAGATATTGCAATGTTAAGTTAAGGACCCATTTTCAAGACTATCTTTAAATCCTTTACTGTTTAGTGCAGCATAAGCTTTTATCCAATAGTCAACTAAATAATAAAGTGGAAAAAGCATAAGTGCATTGGCTATAAGGAGGAACAAAAATACATTGCATATAAATTTCCAATAAGACACGTCTAGGAAATCAAGGTAACAAAAGAAATGAAAATAGTGGTCGTTTGAAGTCAAACCGCTTCCATTACCAAGATATTTTAAGTATATCATAATCATATCCATAGTGACATAATGAAACGCCATTCTGGTCATTTGCTTGTTTAATATTATACCAGAAACCATTAGAGCTATTTCAGATGATGGTGATTTTTTGAGAAGGCCACGCGATATTTTAGATATAAACTCCTAAATGTTGTAAATATCCTTTTATGTCTAATTATTGCCAAGATGTGTAAAACCAACTGCAGCCATTTTAATAATTTAAGTCAATTTCTTTATAATTAGTTTAATAAGTTTTTAATGGAAAGCGAATCTTTGATTTAATATTTTGAGTGAAAGTGCAAAATATGCAGTGAAAGATATTATTGTGACAATTTTCAAATGCTGCTAAATATATCAAAGGGGGCGTCTATTAATCACGTGATCGATTTTTTAAGTATTTTTGGACCCCCCGTCTCTCTTGGTGGTACGTGGTGCTATTCAAAATTACCCTGCCCTCCCCCACCAAACATCACGTGTATTTTTAGTTACGAGAAAAAATTGTAAATTTTTTCTTTATTTTTAACTTCCCGTAGGGTAAGTTATTGTAATGGGCCGAAAATCGAAATTAATTTTTTTTACATTTCTCGACGTTTTGAAGGTTTCTGAACATTTTGGCATACCTCAGAAAAATAGGATGTGTGTGTCTTTGTGTGAGTGTGTATGTATGTATGGATACAATTTTTCGTCCACGTTTTCGGGCGCTCGGATCAACCGATTTGAATGGTTCAAAAAACATTCGATTCCTATTGATAGGGCGATGTGCTGATTAGTTTTTGGCAAAGGCAGGTCCAGCCGATTAGGAGATACGGAGCTAAATGTGCAAAAAATGGCAGTTTTTGAGAGAACTAAGCGTCCGATTTGAATGATTCCAAAAAATTTGCTTGTTTTAACAAAATAATTGATTTTGGAAAAAAAAATTTTTGCTTCAAAATTATTTTTTTTTTATTTTTTTTTCCAAAATATTTTTTTTGTATATCGAAAATAATTCAGATTTTTATTTTAATTCTGTTCTAATATAAAAAAATAATTTCAACTTTCCAATTTAGATCATATAATTCTTATAAATATTCAACAATGTACAATATTTATAATAATCTATTTTAAAACATTTAATATTCCTCGATCATTTCGTTACGGTACGGGAAGTTCCAGTAATTTGCCTTAAGGCACGATGACGTACACCCCACTAGTTGATTTTTTTTAAATTCAAAATTTCATTCAAAAAATAAATACACGTTCTCCTCCCCCTTAAAACCTCACGTGATTAGTGGACGCCCCCGAAATTGTTGATTATCTGCACCTATCGATTGCCTTAAGGGAAAGTGACACTTACACCTAGTTCATTTATAAGCAAGGCGGAGACAATTTTTGATTTTCATTATTTTTCTGTGATATATTTTCAATGGAATATTGATTTAGTCGACTTATTTATACTGTGACTTACGATCGGCTATAGTGCTATTTATTATAGACATATATAAATTTATATATACCCATATTTAATAGACATGCATATTGCATCGTTCCATTTCGTTGCAAATGATGCGATTTATGAGGAATACATTACTTATAATAAATTGTTCATATATTTACGAATTTATGTTTGCGAAGAAGATATAGTAAAATTGTTATAAATGGCATTGATATAATTTATTATTTACTATATGTTAGAGTTTATGTTAGAAAACTAGAAAATGAAACTGGGTTTATGAATGCATGTAATATAGGGTCAAATGATTTCTATAAAACGATAATATTAATTAAAGCATAGAATATTCGATTTTGAATACTTTAAAAGCATATGCTTCTTGGCCAAATCTGAAGATTTTTTCTCAACTATTTATTTTATTACCCAAAGTATTGCAAAATTTTATAATGTTATTATAGAAAACCATTGCAAACTGACTGTGGTTAATAGCATATTTTACTGTTAAAATTTCATTTCATTGAAATGCCATTTGAAATAAAAATCTATTATTTAATAACACAAAACTTTATTTGAAATATATACAGTTGTCAGAAAGTATTGTTACAAAAAATTACAGTGTGTATAATTGTATAACAAATATTGCATCAAAATTTTAATAATATTTCAATAGAACTATAACCATGTTACTATTGAAATTATATATCTTACATTAAAAATTCTATTTTTTTTTTCAAAAGAAATTCGTTTTGTGCTTGCTTAGGAAGCACTCAATATAAACTATTAAGATAATGATATTTATTCTGTAGGCATTTCAATAGAAACTGATTGCAGTTTTGTTTGTTTTATCTTATTAAAAGTTATATAAGTAAAAAATAATAAAAACACACACAAGCACACACTTAGTTTTATATCGCTAATAGCAAATATCGATTAACTCCATGAAATTGAAAGTTGAGCAATACGAAGTAAATATAGATAAATTGTGTAAACGTAACTCGACTCAAATTTTTAAATTTTTATGGGATTTATGGTGTAATCAAACAAAAAAATGAGATGTTTAGCTTGGACAGATTAGTTCATAGTTTTCATACAGGCAAATATATTTTCCAAGACGATCAGAAATTTGTCGATAAAACTATAAAAACTATGATGGCAAAAAATTGAACTTCAATAGGTTTACGTCGCATTTCAAAAAATAAAGATCATACACTTTTGTCTTTAAATTTTTTCATAAATATGTGTTATGTCTTGAGAAAAATATATTCTGATTTTGTTGTCGTAAAACACTCTTCATTTTAATACAAAAAAATAGGTCACCTAATCCTAGTCGTCTATCCGAGAAAAAAAATACCATAAAAACCAAAACTCTTGTATAAAAAGAGATTATTCAAATACAAGCTTTATAGTATTTCATTGGGCTTGTTGATAGAAGATTTAAAGCTCTATTTGCGATTAGGTTCGAATCACAATTGTGGTAAAAAATATGAGATTTTCAATGGTAAAAGATCTATTTTTTTTTTTGTTATAATTCATTTTTGTTAATCAAGACTTTAATGTTTTATTTACAAAATTGAAAAGATCTAAAGATTTGAAAAGAAATAATGACTGAATTCTGTTATTTAATTTATAGAATTTAAAAAGACAAAATAATAAACAATAAATTAAAAATACTAGCACACTCAGTTTTGGCAAAAAATGGTTTCGCGGATATTCATTAATAAAATTAATAATGTTTTAAGGATGTATAAAATCATATGTAGATGTTCAAAATCATATATATTTATTCGTGATTAAAATGATTTAAAATAGATTTTACAAAATTCAGTTTTGACTATTTGATTGATATCAGTTATCTGAATTATGTGCTGGGATTGAAACCATAACAAAAAAAATTGAAATACAAGAAAATGCTTTGTTATTCATAGCTACTTATTATGAACTAAATTACTATGGATTAGTGTTGGATTAGATATCTAGAAGTTTGGCACAAAAATTTATACTAGGTCTCGTCTATGGTGTGATATTTGATTATTTGAGTAAGTAAGAGTGATATAAGAATTCAGAGAATTTTTCTGTACATTTTCTGATAGCAGGATCTTAAAAAGTTATAATGGAGTCAATCGATTACGTGCAGCGATCAATTGCGTTTATACACTTATATGATTGTGTATACACACATTTATTTACCCTGTTCATATTTTAATATTAAATTTCAATATAAACTTTAAGTCTTTATAAAAAATGTGATAAAGCAGTAAAAAACTATAAAATATATCACGATCATCAGACAAAAGTTATCGTACACAACCTCCTTCTTTTGTATGAATGTACAATCAATGCCGGAGAGATGTGGTTTTGTTTCGATCTCGAATTGTATTTGTGGTGTATCAGTTTTGCCCAAGGGCCTTTCCATTAGTGCGAAATAAAAATCGCAATCTCTTATGTATTTATGCGGTATGCAAATATAAAAACCGCGCACTTTTTCGTTATAGAAGAAAACATTTAATAAGTCGTGAAGCGAATTGATGGTCGATGATGTTATTACATATGATGATGAAACGGACCTGGGAAATTTGAATTGTCCTTCGTCGCATCCTTCTGTGCCGAAAGCGGTTAAGACGCGTCCGTTTACGTCGAATATTTGGATTCGATGGTTGTTCGAATCACTGACGATGACTCGGTTTGTATTCGAAACGGCGATGTAGTGCGGATGCTCCAACTGTCCAGGTTTACTTCCGCAACTGCCAAATTTACCAACAAAGGTTCCATCTGACTGGAAAACCTGAAATGGAAAAATTAACGGTAATATATGATTACTAATTAGAGTTTATACAAAAACCGACATTTTAGAAAACCGGTTTTTGGATAGTTATTCTACTGGAAAACCGGTTTTCGAATAGTGATTCTGCCGGAAAACCGGTTTTGGAATTTTATATAGCAAATAAAATTTTCTGTAATAACAAAAACAATTATCAGAAAATTTAGTGTGATTTGAAGCAGCTTTTAACTGAATTCACTTATTGTTAAATTTATAGCTAATAAATAAATTTATTTAAATTTTTATTAGTAGAACAATGAAATAATAGCTAATTTGGATTAAATAATTTTGAAAATAATTACTCGTTGTTTATGCATAATTTTCACATATAAGAATGTAAATATTTTTATAAAAGTGAAAGGAAAGAATTCGAATAAGTAAAAATAATAATAGTTGTTAATGTCAATTTTAGTTTTGAAAACAATTAAGGTAAACCCCAAGTGTTTTCTACTTCGAGCAATTTTAATTAATTGATTTCAAATATTCTAATTATTTTTTTGTTCAATAAAATATGATTTTTGAAAGCCGAGGACGTCTATCGATTTTTTGTACAGAAGTGTCCTTTATTTACTCGAACTAGGCTTAATCATTTTTAAAGCCTGATATAATTAATTAAAAAAAATTTGTTTTTTTATTTGTGGCTTCTAGGACTAAAAACTATTTTTTTGAAGTTTGAGTGGAGGAAGTAACTTCTTCCCAAGTTTTTTTTAATTCAAGAAATTTTACTTAATTGATTTCAAATATTCTAATCATTTTTTTGTATAATTAAATAGGATTTCTGAAAGCCGAGGACGGACGTTTATCGATTTGTTATTTAAAAGTGTCATTTATTTACTCGAACTAGGCTTAATCATTTTCAAAACCTGATATAATAATTCTAAGTGATTTGTTCTTTTATTTATGACTTCTAAGGTTAAGAACTCTTTTTTTGAAGTTTGAGTAGAGGAAGTTACTTCTTCGAGAAGAAACCACGCTGATCTAAATTAATATATTCACTGATATGAAAATCTAAATTAATATATACAGTAAACAAAAATTAACACGGAACTTTTTTGGGAACCATAACAGATTGATATGATTCCAAATGTTATTGAACAGATATTATTCCAAGGATCAAAACGCTTCCATCCATCTGGTATATGTGGCTATATTTATTGTCATTTTTCATCTGTACAGTGGAAATCGATTTTTTTCAATAAAAACCTGGTTTTCGAATTTCATCGTCAAAAAGACGGTTTTTAAAACCGATAAGCCATATTACTGATGTTATGAATTTTATAGAACATAGATGTGATCGATTTTTTAAATTCCTCTTAGTTGTAAGTAAATTTGTCTGATCTGCTTTCTTTTTACGTTCCGATTTATCTTTTTGTCAAAATTGTTCTAAAGAATTTGAATTATAGTTTGCAGATTTTTGCATTTAAAATTTTAATTAAAACCTATGAGTCACCTGGTCATCTTAACTCTTTTTCTCCAAATTGGTAATGCATATAATGCACAACATTAAACAAGTAATTTGAATTAATTATTTGTCCGAGCGTCGAAAATTGAATTTTTGCAGCATGATAAAATGTGAAACTGCTATAAATGTCTCATGTTTCCTGTTATTCAAACTGGCAGTCGATTTGAGTTCTGTTTAATTTAACATTGAATAAAATGTTTTTATAATATCTATTTATATACCAGTCGAATATAAATTTGTACAGTTAATACTAAAATTTATATATTCCGTGCCAATGCTGGTGGGAGATGATTTTCATTATATCGAACAATATTGGTGATTAGAAAAACGTAGAAAAAAATGATGAATCTCAACTAGTGGTAGAAGTATGCATTGCAATAACTTTTAAAGTTGTTATATAAATTAAATTATTGTCGTTTACACCTTGATTTTATACATTTTTTTTCCAAAAACAAAAAAATACTGCTTAAATAAATTTACTATTTATGAATAGTAAATTCATATCTTTTTGAGCAAGAAAGATTAATTACTATACTTATATAAAAGATATAACTTTGGAGGCAGAATCGGCAGTGTGCAAGGTATTACTATTGCTAGAGGTAGTATTATCCACTCTCAAATTAAATTGTATTCTAAACTTTGTTTTCTAAGACTGATCGGGAAATTAGGTAGTTGCATCAATAGAAACCTGATTTTTTTATTTACCTGAACGCGATGGTTTTCCTTATCACACACGTAGATAAATCCCAGTGCATCTGTTGTGATACCCCACGGATAGTTGAACTTTCCATCTGAGGTACCTTGACTACCAAATGCTCGCAAAAATCTGCCTGAAGGGTCTAATACCTGAAGGAATTTGAAATTAAGGTTAGATAATTTGTTTATTATGATTAAATGTCAATGTTCTGGCTAGGTTATCAGAAACGTTTTTTTTGTGTAATTTCAGATTTTATTGACTATCATAGTAATAAAATATAAATCACTTGTTATGACTGATTGTAACTGATGCTTTTTGAGATTTATTGTGATTGATTTTCTGCAATCATCAAAAATATTTTTATACAAAATGGACCAAAAATTATCGTTTTATTAATGCACGTCTAATAGTAGCTTCTAATGCAGAGTTTCATGTATGATTTTATACATTTCTATTTTTAAATGGCTTAGTTTGCATTTTCTATTCGCAATATATATTTAATATTAATTAATTAAAGGAATAAATTAAATTAGAGATAGTTAATAAAATCGAAACAAATTAAAAATGGTTTGATATATGAATTTGGAACTTCTAAATGCTTGTGTTTTATATATTGTTTTGCTACATTTTTGAAAATACGTAGTATTCGAAATATTACGACGGTGGGAACCTATTACTCTCTGGAAATGGAAGACTCAGCCGTTTGCATATAAAAAATGAGTAAAATATGGCCCTTTGATAACCAAAAGTTATGGCATTTGATATATGGATTATTTATTCCATATTATTTCACATATTAGTGAGGTGACCATACATCCCGGATTGGCCGGGACAGTCCCCATTTTCAGCCTTGCGTCCCGTTTTTTTTCTAAAAGCAATATTTGTCCCGGTTTTGGGTGTTTTGTCTCGAATTGTCCCGGATTTTTGAAAATAGTTTGATTGCCGATATTTTTTTTAAATATATTTCAATTAGAAAATTTTAACCGAAAAAAATTTGCGTATAAGTTTTTAGCTCGCCAACAACCCCCTCCCTTCTGCTCTCTCTCAAAATCTAGTCCGTTCCGGATTATTAGGCATATTTTTTAAACAAATTTGTGCTGCAAAACATTTTTACAATTCTACTACACTAATATCAGGATAGATTTTTATCTAGGTACTTAACTTAGACCCAAAGATTTTAACTTCATTACCTAAACTTTATTCAAACATTTAAGATGTTTCACAAATAAGCTAAGTAGTTGAATTTGATGCACATTTTCAAACTTTGGTGGCGATGTTAACTATTGGACGAAGAGTTACTTTTCTAATGAAATATAATGAATTATAAATTAGCATTTTGTGTCATGACTATAACGTTTTGAATAGCATGAGATCCAAAGGAATTGCTTTGATTTTCTTCAATCTAATCGATATCTAATTTATTCTTTACCTGAATTCTATGGTTATATCTATCGGCTATGATGTACTGTCCGATTCTATTGACGGCGACTCCAGCAAGACAATCGAATTCTCCTTCTCCATTTCCATAAGCTCCAAATTCCTTGAGAAATTCGCCGGTCGCACTGAACACCTGAACTCGATGGTTCGACGAGTCGGCGACGACTATTGTGTTATCAGGGCCGACGGCAATGCCGCGCGGCCAGGTGAAATATCCGGGCTCGCTCCCCCGGCTCCCCACCTGGTAAAATTAATAGTAAAATAAAATATAAAAATATAATAAAATTATTCATTAATTTAACATGTTAATTGTCATGGCAGTCACTTGTGTCTGACACTAAAAAGTTCTACATCAGCCATGTGAGACATTATATATCTAATAAACCACCACATACAACATGGTACTTTGTCATATGTATGAAATGAAAAATAATGTTTGCCCAGTAATTTTGATAAACTTTTTTTTTCCTTTGATAAATTTTTGAGTTGGTTTTTGAAAAATACAAATGTACGTATTTTTTATACTTAATACATAAAATTAAACAATAGTCGAATTGGTAAAAAATTCGCGCATATAAAAAAAACTATCTTGTCCGACTATGACAATGTGAATTAATATCACTAGATAAAATTTCTGATTATAAATAGCTATCTTATAAACATATTCTTTACTATAAGTTCTAAAATTGCTATAAAATGCAATGTTTTTAAAATCAAATGCTCTTTACTCAATTTGTTTTCACTGCATCTCTGGCAAATCGCTTTGGCATAAAGCATATAAAGTGGTATGAAAATAAATAAAGAAAATGAACGAGCGAAAAATTTAATGGATTTTCAAAATCATCTTGCTATAGTTCTGAGATGTACAGCTTTTATAGAGCAATAAATAAAAAAAATAATAAAAGCATTGGATTATTTTATTCATTTCTTATATTGCATTTTTCAAGGATTGATGCTTATTTATGTACATTTCTAGTGACGTATTACACCTGTATCAGTTTATTACAATCACTGAACATTAAAAAAAACGTGTTTGTCAATTTCTAATTGTTCAATAAATATTATTTTATTCGTCGATGTTTGCTGGATTTTACAGATTTGAATATCATCATAATGGTTTTAATTGAATTGTAACAAAAAAAAATTGCAATTTATTAAAAATATCTTGTACAGTAACAGTGCAAAAAGTATCATATAAGCTTTACGCCACTGTAAAATTTTCAATTCCAATCTTTCCATAATATTAAAGTTGCAGGTTAAAAATTAATTAAACATGTATGTTATATTAGACTATTAAATCTGAGCAAGAAAATTGGTAACATGGCAAGTTGATTGTTTTGTTAGTATAACAACGCACATAAATATAAATTACATGATATCGTGAAAGTACTTACTTGAAACAACTGACGACGTTTCTGTAGATATTGCCCTCTAGGGGTAAAACCTACTACCGCCGCGATACCTGTAATCATACAGACGTTGTAATATTGTTTTTCATAACGTTTTACGGGAAAATATTTGATATTTTATTTTGTACACTCTCGTATGTGCTTATATATATATATATATATATATATATATATATATTATATATATATATAAAGATTTTATTTTACCCATGCTGTCTATAGGTCTATAGTATATATTTATTAATTGTATAAACGAGAACACTTTACTAAAGATATTTTACTTTATCATATCATCATATTGATCAAATATTACTATATGTCGCTGTCAATTAATATTCATACACTAATAGATATTGTTCAAATGGATTATTCATCAGGCATAGCTTTTAGTAAATATTTTAGTATTATCAAGTATGAAAATTTATTACTTACCGGCTGCTGCCGTAGCTGCTGTAGGGGAGATGGGGGAGCCTTGCACGTTTTTTGAATCGTCATCAGAACTCCCGTGCTCGTTTGCTGCTCTAAGTGGCAATCCCAAAGATAAACGCCGCGCTGCAGAACTACTACTAGATGGAGATAAACTTGTAGACGTTCCTAGTGTACTATCTTTTGTTTCTTTGGCTCCTCGATTTCCGTATTTATTCTTCAGATAACGAGCCCATGAACTCAGAGCTGCGCCATCCTTATCAACACCTCCTGCCGCAGATGGTCTTTCAGGCGAGGTTTCTCGTGATTTAAGCGTATGCGAAGATCTGCTACGCGCTAAATCACTTCCACCAGTTAATGATGAACCGTAACGAGATGCAAGGTATGCCGAAGGTGATGTTGTTGTCGGAGACATTGGTTCATCAAGATCGTCATCGTCACCAAATGTGTGACTGCTTTTACTTCTGGCTAAACGATTTCGACGATCTTTCAAAGCCATATATCTTGATCGCCCACTCGAATACTTGCTATCATCATCAGTGGGGCTTTTATCATCATCATCTGGTGGCACAGCCGCTGTGCTTTTGCTTTTATTTAAAAAACGACTTGTATAACCACCATAACGTGATGTTGGCTCATCTTCAACTGCGGTTGGTCTCGTACGTCCATATCTACTGTAAGGTTCTTCGTCAACCGTATTCGGTCGAGTTCTAGTATATCTAGACGTCGATTCTTCCTCCGGAGGCTTGGGCCTCGTTCGTGTATATCTACTCGGAGATTCTTCAGGACTGTACGAGGATTTATATGAACCGGAATTTGTTCGCCCGTAGGGAGCTTCATCTCTACTATTTCGTCTAGATTCTGCTGTTTCACGAGCTTGTGAACTACGGGCAAGCAAAGGCCCAATGTCAGTTTTTGACATATCAGCTGTGTCTTTTTTTGGTTGATCTTCTTCCGATTCTTCTGAAGATTCTTCTGTTTCTTCTTCTGAGCTTGTTTCAGTTTCTTCTGTTTCTTCCTCTTTAGGTTTTTCTACTGGCGGTGGTGGAACTGTCGTCCTATTAAGGAATCGGCTCTGAAAAGGAGCTCTTGCTGGAGTAGTTGTTTCTTTCTTCTCAGATGTTGAACCAGTGGAAGATAATCTGCTTCGAGGAACATCACTTGTATCGGCATTTGTACGTGATAAAATCTTTTGCTTAACTTCGTCGGTAGTATATGCCGCCCCAGTATTACGTACTCCAGATGAAGAACCGGATCCAGAGCTATCTGAAGACGTACTAGAATCAGAACTTCCTGATCTCGTAGCCAATTTATGTGAATCAGAGAGTTTTCTAGGAGTTGTGACTGCTGTTGAGACCTTATTGGCAGTTGCAGCTTTGCGTTGAGTTTGCGGTGAACTTACGGATTCATCAGATTCTTCTTCACTTGTAGCCGCCTGGGAATATAACGTTGAATAAATTAGCGCAGAAATGTTGATCAATCTTGATTATCAATCTTCTACTAACTAAAGATTTTAATATTATCTTTTACTTCTTTTGTGTTTTGTATAAATTGCAATGTGTCTAAATTTGTTTAAATTTCTAACTACTCAAATCAAGCGTGCTTTGTTTTGGCTTTTCTCATAGGAAGATGCATTTTTACATTCTTATATATTAAATAAAAATTCTATAAACTATATTGTATGTCCAAGGCATATTCTTATTGTCTATATGTTGTACAGTGTGGTGTCGACTGTTAACTCAGAGAGTTAATCTTCATCGAAACTCACCTCAGTCTGGGGCGTCTTCCTAGTTGGAGATCCAGTAGATGAGTTCCTACTATCATCACTATCATCGCCTCCTCGTTTTAGAGCAGCTACACGTTCTGATGCTGGACGTGTATCTGACGCATCTGTCGAACTCGTAGCACCCTTGTTTTGACGCTTGAGTTTGCTAATTTCATCTTCCTCACTTATTTGTCTAGCTGCAGCAGCAGGTGTTCTTTTTGGAGGTTGGGTTTTTTGTTGAACTTGTACTGGTGGAGGTGGCTCTTTGTCTTTCTTTTTGCCTCTTTGTTCAGTTTCTTGTAATTTTTTCATTACTCTGGGTGAATCTGTTAGTCTAAAGATGCCACTTAAAGGCCCCCTAGATACATCTTCAGTATCTAAGACCCTTTCTCGTTCTTTTGGAGGAGGTTCGGTAAATCTAACATTTCTACTACTCTGTTCATTGTCAGAGTCGTTGTCTTGTTGATTGCGAACGAATCGTGATCTAAATCTTGATCGGGTAGGTCGATTTGATTCCTCGTAATCGTAATCGTAATCGCCGCCTCTGCCATATCTTCCAGTGTCTTGCCTAGCCGCCGGCCGTTCTCCAAATTTGCGCCCAGCGAGCGGTGGCTCTTGATCTCCCTCTTCGTATCCACCTCGACCATAGTTTCTACCTTCATCTTGCCTATATTGACTAGCAAGACGGTGATCACTCTTAGAACGCATCAAACCAGGCCCTCCGCTGGGTGGTTGAAGCATTGCACTGCTAGAACCAGTTATACCACCAGCGTGACCAGATGACATATTCAATTCGCCGTATGTTCCGACATGCATAACTAATTGATTGGGGTCCATTGACATAATAAATCGTACCCTACGTGCATAATCACCAGTTTCATATTCGAAATTTCTAATAAAATCTACAGTTTTTAGAAAAATTTCTTTAGCGTCCATAAGTTCGCTATCTTCCCAGTCTACATTTTCAGTCATGTACTTATCCGCTAAATCACAATTGCTTTGTATATTAGCGATTTCAAGTTCTAAATTATCTTTCAATGTTGTCAGACATTGCATTTCTGTGCCTAGATACCTATCTACTTCCATGCGAAGTGAATCTGTACGATCTTTCAATGCCTTGTTCAATCTCCTAAAAATTACATCTATTTCTTCAGATACGGATAAGCAATTTGTTTGGAGATTTAAAGAATTTTTCTCAACAATTGCGAGTGCATCTTGTAATCTATGAACCCCACGGCGGATTTGGTTGTTGATGCGAGCTATTTCCCGTCGCAAAATATCCATGTGAGCGGATTTGCATTCGGCACAGGTCTTTTTCTCGCAATGACTGCACAAAGTGCAATAAGATTTTTCTGAACAGACGGTACATCTTTCCATTATTTGACCTGATGTGGGATCCGGTAGTTCGCCAGTGATTTCTATGTGTAGTTCTAGAAACCGCTGTAGGGTTACATTTGTTGGAAAACCTTGAACTCCCTGGTATGGTATTCGATGTTCCGCACGGCATTCTGGACATTTGACCTGAAAAGGAGATGTAACAGTTTCAGTTTTCAAGAATATAAGTTTTGATATATTAATAATTCGATGCATAACAACAATACAGTTTACAAATAAAATAATTAAGATAAAATGAATAAATTAAAATAATTAAGAAGAAACAAAATTAATAATATATACCTGTCTTCGAACATAATCTACCAGACCGTCCATGCATGGTTCCATACAGAATGAGTGTTGACATGGCAGCAATTTTGGATTTCGGTATCGGTCCAAGCACACGCAGCACGTAAGCAGCTGCTCAAACTGCTCCATGCTGGCTCACCTGAAAGCAGCAAAAAGTGAATGAATTTTAATATTCATTCATATAATATAGGAATAACTTCTAGGTATATTCTAGAATAATCTTAATCTCGGTTACAGAATAACAGAGCGAGAACAAAATAAGTTGATCCGAGCAAAATTTGCGGTAAGTTTATAACATCTACTTGAATTTTATTATTAATTTCACAAATTGTAAAATTGGAACAAATTACCTCGCATTTCTATAATCCAATAGTAAAGTTAGAGAAAAAAATTCAAATTCGCATGACAATTTATCTAACAATAAATTACTTCTAATTATATTTTAGTACTCATTATTTAATGAACAATAGTAAAGTTTTAACAATTTCAAATAATTGTTAATATTTTAAGTGTCTTGCAACATCAAGCCTCAGCTGTTGCAAATTATTATCAACGAAGCTGTGACAATTTATTATGAATCTACTAGTATAAAAAATTAAATTAGGATTAATTATTGTTATTTAATACATTACATAATTTTTCTTATGCCATTTGTTTTTATTTTTCGTTGGGTTGAAAAAACATAAAGATAGAATAGATGGAATGTCAATGGACATGATTTGTTTTACTTAATTTATAACTTCATAGTTTGTAACAATTTATTATTTATTACGACAAATCTTGGATGAAGATTTAGCATAACCATGATTACAATTAAGGGCTCAAATGCTTCCAAAGTGATAAAAGCACTCTGAAAGTTTTATCTCTCAATATTAACTTTAAAATTGTCCGAACTCGAACAAAATATTATAATGTAAAATTATAGTGTTTGCATTAACGTAATACAAAATATAATAATAATAACAATAACAAATACTGTTTGGTATTATTATTTGTATTACGTTAATGCATTCCAAGTGCATTATAAGGAATTTTAAACTGGAGTTCGTTACAAATTAAACTCTATTCGAAATTGTGTTTGTATAATTTTTGTTGTTAAATTTTTATTTATTTTAGTAAAACATAATGTTTATGCATATATGGCATTAGTCAACATAAACACTTCATAAAATTTTACATAGTCAATAATTTTATTGTATACATTATTTTATTACAATGTTAATTAAATCGGTTAATCACGCGATCTTTTAATTTCCGTTATATTAAAATGCGTTTATATTTTTCAATAGCAGCCGAAATTAACACAATGCTTTTTTCTAAATTACATAAGATTTAAAAAAGTGATACTTTTATTATATGTATTTTATAAGCTTGAAGAGAAACTTTATGATATAAAATAAATCGACAAGGCAATTAACTAATGGTGTTTGAGCTCTTACAATTCATTCAGGCGTTTTAAAGAAAATGTTAACGAAAAGTCTTGACATATTAATGTATAATCTTGATATTAATATATACATTTTTAAGTTGACGCTTGCAGTACGATGTGTTATATCAATTTATTACTTTTATGTGTTTATACTTAATTTATTCTTGAAGATTTTGTATTTGTTGTGATGTTCCATACATTTTTTTGCCTCGCGAAACAAACATTATTTTATATTGAAATTCGATAATGATTTTTCTACATATATTATTTTTATTTTTTAGACTGTTTAAGCTATTGTCGCTTGTATACTTATTTTTTATATGAATTTTTCATTGCAAATGGATATCATTACTGCCTGATTTCAGTTCGCCTGCAATGCGTATTTACTTTTTAACATTTATATACTTCATTGCAGCATTGCCTAAGCTCTTTCCACTTGTATACTTATTTTTCTGTAAATTGTAATTTCAAATGGTAATCGATACTGCCTGATTTCAATTTGCCCGCAACGCGTATTTGGAACTCGAAACCTTGCGGTTACAAGGCCCAATTCTCTACCATGTATGTTTATATTAGTAAAAAATTGAATTAGTATGCTAATATAAGGACAAAATCGCTGGTGCAAGTGTAACGGAAAATTTTGAATGAAGGAAAAATATTTTTATTTTATATACTTCACCTATATAAAAAATATTTTATACCACGAACATTATAGAACAGTCGTAAAACAAAAAGTCAAATTTAAAAAAAATATAATCTCTTGCATATAACATATCATTGCATAACTTTTAAATACACGTTTCACTTTCATCTTAACCTTCAAAAATGTATTGTTGCACCTAAAACTTAACACAATCATATTGTCAAGAAAATCTCACCTGAATATTTTAAATTTACTACATTTTCAATTAAATTTAAAAATTTCAAAGATAAATCGGTAATAACTGAAACTATTTTCTGATTCTTGTTGTATTCTGATACATAGCTAAATTCGTACTGGTCACCTAACCAGGCTGCCAGCAGCGCGGCGACTGCGCAAATTTGAAAGATGGAAAATTTGAAGACTCATTGCAAGTAATAATAGCTTTTTATGTTTAAATGAAATATTTGAGACATTCAAGTTTTAAAATTCTTAAAATAATAAAGTTGTTTTTGATAAAAGGTTAAACTAAGTTGAGATTTTAAACTAAATTTAATAATAAATTTATTATATATTAACTGGCCTTCAATTATTTTTTGTCTATTAGTTTGCAATCGCTTCATCTTTTTTAAATAAGTTTCATTCTTAGAAATCTTAACACTGAAATCGACCTCGAATTGAATTTTTAATTATTTATTAATAATGCGGAAAATCTTCTATCATGATTTTTTTTACATACATTTTTAATTTCCTGAACTGTAATTTTCAACTTTCATATACTTCTTGGCAGTATTGTCTAAGCTATTTTCACTTGTATACTTATTTTATAAGAATAAGTTCTTCATTTATACTATTGTCAAATCATAAAATGTATTGTGTTTCAAAATGAATTCAAATACGGAGAATATTTATACGATTTATACTAAGATGTCTTATATTCGTTTTGAAATTAATTTATATTGTATTTAGAAACAATAGAACTGAAGTATAAAAAATTTAAAAATAAATTATGATTATAAATACAAGAAACTAATTAATATTTAAAAATAATTTGAACAGGTGCAGATCAAATTACAATCAGAACTATCTAAAATATATTTCCTTCAAGGTATGTTTTTGTTTAAATCATTATATTGTTTTTTTCCAATTAATTTATATTGTTTTTTTTGGTGTGTAATTAAGTAAACGTTAAAGTTTGGTTGAAGATAATAGAAATCAAATTAATTTTGAAACGTATATAAATTAATATATTTAAAATTTACTTAGTAATTTAGTTCATTTTAAACACAATGTTGGATAGTTGCCCAATAGTTTTGTAAATTATACGTATGCATACATATACACATGCACATACACACACACACACACATATATATATATATATATATATATATAATATTGTATAGAGTTTCAAACAAAGAATGCAAATGTAATGTAAACAATAAGTGTCTTAAAGAGATTTTTATTTATTATTGACTTTTCGGAACTTTGTACGTTCCATCTTCAGAACATCTGTAAAAAAACATGATCTTGATATTAGATATAAACAAACCCAAACAATATACAATTAAAAAAATTACAATTAGTAGATTTTTAAATTTTTTCACATAAAATAAAAAAATATTTTCAAAAACAGTTTTATTTTCTCTTAAGTATTTTGCTGTGGTTTGTTTATAACAAATCAAGATTATATTTTTTGACATATGTCATGAAGATGGAACGAACTTAGTTGATCATAAATAATGTTTTTAAAAAAAAATTAAAAAATGGATTTTTGTTCGAAACTCTACACAAACAAATGTATGACATATATATATATATACACACACACACACATATATATATATATATATATATATATATATATATATTTGAAGTATTTTCCGGTCCAATCGCTGAATTAAAAAAAGATTTAAATAGAATTTTTTATTCCATTAAACGTTTCGACACTTAACGTATGTCATCATTCAGAAATCAAACCAGGAAAAAAGCAAAAAAATTAGATAAAATTTATTGAACACTAAACTTGTGTAAAAATATCATAACTAAAATTTATAAAAGAATGATGTTGATCTTGATTTATTAATTCGACGATTGGGCTGCAAAATACTCCAATTTGTATCAACGTCGTCAAAATTATCATCATATATATATATATATATATATATATATATATATATATATATATATTATAGTGGTATATCATAAATTTATATACAAATACGAATTTTATTCGCCTGTTTGCTGTTTTATTATAAAAGCATCACAATATGGATGGTAGCACTTCACAAAATCCAATTTATTCAGGTGAATATAATACTGTGTATTTCAATATAATTTTTCTTAGCTTCACTTAGAAACCAACCTTGTATTAAACTATATCGTTTGAATGTCACTATTAAACACTGTCACAATATTATTCGATTCCATAATCATGGAACACGAACACGATTGTATTTTTTATGAATAAAACAAATCACAACGTATGTATGAATCGAACTGCGGATTAATGAGCGACATGTTGCTTGTTAGAGACTAAAGTATACTATAATGATCAAGAACTTTCAGCGTAGGATTAACTCGAACGCCATTGAATTATTTTTAACCGCGCCGTGATCAAATGCTTCTCGGGAAAACTAGGCTCTTCTGCCAGAACTCGAAAAGCAGCATCCGTTTCGTGTGTTTTTACTATTCTCGATATTTTTGCGGTATTTGTCTTAATGAGCATTCCAAGGATCAAATACAAATTGACGTACTTGTTAGATTCTTTGTGTGTTACATAAACCTAGCATAAATGTGTTACATACATACATACACACGGTTTTAAGAGATTTGCGATCTTCGGAAAGAAGAAGAGCGAATAGCACTTATAAGTAGGAAAATATAATTCTAGCATTCTAGATCTTGCCCCCATTAAGTAATGCCTAACGGAGGTTTCTTTGAGAGCAAGAGGCAAGGGGGCGTCCATTATTCACGTGAGGTTTTTAGGGGGAGGGGAGGGTTTGACAAAAAATCATGAAAAATTACGTGGGGGAGGGGGAGGTATAGTAACATAACACGTGTATTTATT